CTAAGTTTTCCAACAAAACCAATTAAAGAAAATGATATTTGAAAACCATAACGAATATAAAATGGTAAATGTTCTGTTAAAATATTAGCATGAATATCATTTATTTCTTCAGATTTAATATTAAATACATAATTAGTTAATAATTCTCCAAAACCAAATTTTCTATAATCATAACGTACATAAACAAGACCAAGCATAAATACAGATATTATATTATGATTATTTATATTCCATTGTTTAATAGATGCATGTCCTAATATATCTTGTTTAGATGTAATTATATAAAATATATTTGGTCGAAATGAAAAAAAATACATTGAATAATCAATAGATCCACGTTGAAATATTGAACAATCAGATAATAATAATTTAATATAATATATATCAGTAGATATAACTGGTCGAATTAATAAATTAATTAATTCAATTTTATCATTTCTAATCATATAAAAAAAGACATTTTTCTTTATTTTATTTATCATAGAAATTCTCTTGAGATTTTCAACATATTATTTATACTTTAATAAATAAAGATTTTTCTTTTCTTTTTTTTTCTTGAATTGATTATTTTATTTTTGAAAATTTATTTCTCTAATTTAATAAATATATTCTTTTATTTCTTACCTATACAACCAATATGAATAGTGTCTTCTTAATTTTATTGATCTTGAATCAATAGATTCATCATCCGACATTATCAATCAAATAAATCTATCAATAGAAGATAAAATAAATCAAATCAATATGCTATTTGAGAATGTTGAAACTTGAATATGTACATTATTATTGGTAGTATTACATGTCGGGTTAATACGATGCAATAACCCTATAGATGTCAATGATCTTATTTAGAATACTAGTTCCATTAGAATGAGTTATATAAATAGAGAATCATAAAAAGAATAAAAAAAATAAGAAAAATTATTCTATCTATTTTCTTTCTTCTCTCTCGTTCATCGATCAAACCGATTCTATTTTCTATGCGAATACAATCAATTCGGATGAGTCGATTTATTTCAAACAATAACGAGAGACAATTATAT